CCCACTGGGCAGGACAATTGAAGGAGAAGCAGCTGCTGCAGGGATCCGTCCCCAGAGCCCTCTCAGCTAGTGCTGTCCAGCAGCTCCCCGCATCCAGGGTGGTGCGGTGGTTAAGAGCACTGGCTCCGGACTCAGAAGACCTGGGTTCTAGTCCCCACTTGGCCATGAAGCTCACTTGGGCGGCTTTGGGCCAGCCGCTCTCAGCTTCACCTACTCCACTGGCTTGCTGTGGTGAGGATAAAAAGGGGAGGATGACAACCTTATAAGCTGGCATGAGTTCTTTGCAAAAGGAATAAAGATGAGAAATGGATGTACGTACACAGGAATCCCTTATTTTCCCAGGGAAGTGAGGGGTTGAGGGAACTCATCTTCAGAAGAAGGAGATGCTGCAGCCTCATCAAGCCAGTGCTTCTCAAACTTCTCTCACCTTTACCTTTCCCAGAATGTCCCAAGACCTTCTGTAAAGAACAGGATGGAAAAGCAAGCAATAAATAAATAAATGTGGGTACAAGAGAAGCTACCCTGTGAATCTCTGAGGGAAAAGAGAAGAAAGCAAAGTTTGTTTGTTTGTTTGTTTGTTTGTTTAGGAGACTTCTATGCTGCCCCATTCACCGAAGCCTCGAGGTGGCTCACATCCATAAACAAACTTCCTTAAATTAATATAAATTAACAGAAAAATTAAGTCACCCTGGCCAAAGAATAAAATGAATAAATACTGTTAACAATTAAAATGACATTTGAATAAAAAGGTCTTTGCCTGGTGCCGAAAAACAAATAACGACGGCGCCAGGCGGACCTCTCTGGGGAGCGCATTCCATAGATTGGGTGCCACCGCAGAGAAAGTTGTGGGAGGCTGATTATGTGTGCTTGCCTTGGGGAGGGTGTATATGTCTTGTGGGGGGGGGATGCTTTAGGATTTGGGTGTCCTTGTGTTTGTGTGTGTGGCTGTGGGTGTGAATGGGCAATTTGGACAGAAAACAGAAAACTATCCACTCATAAGTCTTTATGCAACACTTGGTACCTATCGTTGCTTAATTCTACTTACCTTCCTGCTTTCTTTGGTTTGTATTTATTAATTTACAAGTTCAAAGAATAATTTCTGTGACAACCAGAAATGAAATCTGCAGAACATCCAAGTTTACAATGACCAAGTCTGCTAGAAACATACATGAAAATGGGGTGGGGTGGAACTTGGTGCCATCTGAAGTTAGACATGGTTTTGATTTCATCTGAGACTGAAATAAAATTTCCAGAAACATCCCATGATGTGTTGTCAGTGTACTTAAGTCTCTTCTTGTCTGAGGGCGCAGTCCTATGTGCCTGTAGAAAAATGCTGGAAGATGTGGCATTTTTTCCCCATCTAAACTTGCATCCTAAATTTGTCTACGTGTGGTTTTGTATTTGCAACCCATGCAAATTTATTTAAAATCTATCCTGTTGTCTTGTAGAGCTTAGTAATTATCTGGCATAGGCTCCCTCTTGGCTTTTGGAAAATATATCCCAGGTTTGATGCATTTCCCAGGAAATGTATGCGCTGCAATTCTCACTAATAACAAAGAAAGCCTCTCAAAACTTGCGTGGCTATGGTAATATTATTGCCATCATCAACATCATGTGCAGCTGCATCCCACACAAACTTGCTTCGCTCTCATGGTCTTAAATCACTTGATTATCTGTACAGTGGGAGTTGCTATCGGACCAGGGGAATATGGGTCCAAAGAATTGCTCTTTTGTGGGCCATGATTCCGTCCCCTCCCCACTTTAAACTCATAATTTTAAAGTCACTTGAGCCATTTTTCTTATCTGTGCAATGTGGTTTGTTGCTGGGACACAGCAAAAGGAAAACAGCTCAAAAGGGAGAGCTTTAGTGTGAATTCTTAGTGCTAGTGTCACTGTTACAATATGCAAAAGGCTGGATTTTGGATGTTCACCAAACTTGCAGCCATGTTTCAAAATTGCTTTTCTGCATATCTCTGGGGGTATTACCATTAACAACAGGACGAGTTGTTGTGGTTGTGTAGAGCCCCCCCTTTCTTTGCTGTCATGCTCTTAAAGGCAGTTGTTGGAGCAGGAGAATATGGGCCCAGGTGAGCCTTATTTGTAGCTATGCCAACTCCCCATCACCTGCTTCTGCCTCACAATCTGAATGGGCCTCAGTTTTCCCTTTCCATGGTATGGGTTGCTGGCGCTTGAAGATCCAAAAGGCTGCTCATGTGGCCCCTTGACTTAGCCTCTCATGGTCCGCTCCCAGCACTGCTACTCACTCTTCAGTGGGCGACATTAAGCATGTCCACATTCAGGTCTTGGCCTCAGCCTTCAGAGACCCCTGTCCATGTACATGTACACAGATATTTGTGCCTTTGGGCGCAAGATTTTAATTGTTTAAAAATGATTTTAAATTGTCATTTTAATTGTTAATATTATTCGCTTATTTTATCTGGCCAGGGCAACTTATTTTATATTGTTAATTTTGTTGTATATTTGAATGTATTATATTTTAATTTTATGTTGTGAGCTGCCCTGAGGCTTCAGCGAATGGGGCGGCATAGAAATGTTTTAAATAAAATAAAATAAAATAAAAAATAAATAAAGATGCATCTCTGTGGAAGAGCTGGAATAGCACTGGTTCTAGGAAGAGATGCGAACAAGGCTGCCGGGAGGGTCACATTTTAGCCTGCAACTGCGGTCAAGGAAGATTTCACTCCACTTCATCAGTCAGGCCAGTAAACCGAGTGTCCGTTCTTTAAAAACCCACCCAGGGCCTTTCGGTGGTAGTGATGGTGCGGCAATGTTCGTCACAAAAAGCGCAAAGCCCAGCGGAAACCTGTGCATTTGGGCAGGTGAAGTGAGCCAGTAACGTAACAGTCCCATTTCCAGGTTTTGCTCTGTAGCATGCAGCGAAACTCTCCGGGGAATCCTACCTTTTAAAAAGCTGCTGGAAGAGAAATGTCATGCTGTTTGCAGCAAATCGAACAAAAGGGAGAGATGTGTTTGTTTTTGCACCCCCCCCCCCCAACTGTTGCTGTATAAACAAATTTAAGCCCAGTCCAATCCAAGGCAATTTGGGACTAGGTTAATTGGCCTCCAGGGTGTTAAGTTCTTGCATGAAACTCTTGCTCTGTGAAAACCTTGGCGCTCACTCTTCCTTTTTTTTAAACTACTGCTGCTGAACGGAAAAGATGGAATCATGCTTCAACTGTTTTGGAAGAATGAAGGATCAGTTAAATAGGGAAGCTATTTGGATTGCGGGTTTCTGGCTAAATCCAGACTTTGTGGTGGTGGGGTGTCCTTCCTTGCCAAAGTGAACTTAGAGCTTCATGACTGGCAAAGAGAGTTCTTTAGACACTCTAGAAAAGAGAGGAGAAAAGCCACACATTACGTTGCATTTCTTCTCCCCTGTCCTGAAAGCAATGGGGGAAGAAGCGTGAGTCAACCCTACTTCCTCTCCTTGTAAGTTCTATAGGACATCAGAAGCAGCCTGGAGAACCTGACTCCTTTGGGAGTCCGGAAGCCTGCTTGCCTCCCTCTATCTGCTGGTCACCACATGCCCTGGAGGGAGGCTGCCTGGTGCATTTTGAATTGTGCCTGTTTTGTCCCATGTTCCATCCTGTTGTTTATAAAACAGTTCTCCGTCATCGTCCTTGCATGCTCAGCTGTGCTCCTTGGCCTGCTCTCTCACCAAGGAAACATACTCTCAAGTTTTTGCCCTACTCAGAAGCATTCCCATAAGGCTGTTTGTTTGTTGCTACAAGCCTGTGCATTATGTAATGGAGATTTAGTGCCGCTAATGAAAGCAGCTTGGGGATCTGACCCTTCTGTGGCCCTGGTCATGCGATACGATGCCATATTAGGTGGTGGATGAGATTCGCCAAAGAACCACGTAACTAACTCAGTAATGCCAGGACCGTTGTCATTATTTCAGATAAGCACTAAGTGGCTGAAATGGTTTGTGATTCAACTGTTCTGTATAAGAAGGTCCTTAAACGCAAACTCAGTGAACTTTTCCATGTAAGAGTAGCGTTTCTCAACCCAGTGCTTTCCAAAAGCATCAGACTCAAATGCCTGGCACTTTTTCCCACCACTGTTGCTTCACAGGGAATGGTCTCCTTTTCCTCACTGAATGTTGTTTGTTTTTATTTGGGACTGATCTCCCACAACAACTCTCACAGTTTTGACACCCCAGTAATCCCAGAGAGGATAGCCTGTTTACTTGGAGAACCAGGAGGCAGGGGACTCCTGTGTCAGTGGGGCTTTTGATCCATTGCAGCTTTTATTCTGAGCTTTATAGGAGCTATCCATAGTGCCAAATGCCATCCCAAAAACAGGTTTGCCACCATAGAGCTGAGATCCCAGGTTTCTGTGTGCTGGGCCAGCATCATATTTAGCCTCCTCTGTGCACAGTTTCATTGTTGATGGGGGACCCATGAATGGGACTTGGGTTAGTTGTGACTGACTTAAGTCTCCTTCATTTCCTTGTGGTGTACTCTTTGGAGAACTAACTTTGGACATGATCCAAAGCTCTGAATGAGCAAGCTGGCCGATACTTTTGGGGGGTGGGGGTGGCTAGCAGGCTAACCTTTATGGATGCAAAGCTGCAAGGCTGACTTCCAGGGGCCTACCTCTCTGGGTTGTTGGAAAGGTGAGCACCATAAAGACCACGAAAGGTCCTGTGAATGAAAAAGACTGCCCTGAATGCAAAGTGAGTAGCAAATGAGGTTTGGCAGGTCTGTCTGAACTGTTGTGTTCTTAACTGCTTGGTGATACCAGCCTTCCATTCTGCAAAGCAAATCCTCTAATTTAATAAAAATGCGCTTGGTGCATGGCTAATGTCTGAGAGTTACAATTACCGCCTGGGATCCAATTACATTAAGAACCCAAACAAGCCAGGCAAGCCTCCCAGAAATCCAGGAAGAAAGCGTTTTGCCCTCCTATTCTTTTCATCTGAAGAACTCGGCTCCTTGAATCAGTTTGCCCTTTTGTTTGGCGCCATCACCATGGAGATGAATAAGCCGCTGGGTGCGCGCGCGCGCGCCCTCCTCCTCTTGTGTGGAGAGGTTCACTCGATCACCGTAACCGCGTTCAGTCAAGCCGGCATGCTCGCTGGAAACGGATCCACTTCTCTGTCCAACTCAGAAAATAATAAAAAATGTAGAACGTGTGATTTCACTTGCATTCATGATTGGTTCTGTCTTGAGTGCTAGATTTGCCCCTCCCTGTGAGACCTGCTAGCGGAGGCTGCAAGGTGGAACTTTTGGGGCTGCTTTCCTCTTGCGTGTCATGCAATTTCCTGAGCAACCATTGAGACAGCACGTTGCTTGCTATTTAATTATCATGCACAGAGAGGAATGTGGTTAATGGAGGACTAATACCCAAGATCCAGCAGAGTGAAAGGTAATTTGTCTGTTTTGTTTAGGAGTAGATACTCTGAAATAGAGACGTTTGGCCTCTCCCTGAAGGTGTTTCCTTCAAAGTCAGTTGTCTTGACTTCAGTGGTGCTTCTGGATAGCGTGCTTAAGCTAGCACACAAGAAGAGTTGCATAAAATATTATACTATAATTATAGTATTATATGTATATTGTCTATACATATTACATTTTCTGCATATCAAGACATGTTTCTTTCTCAGTGTACATATGTATTTTTAAGGGGGCATTTTCGGGGGTCCCAGTTTGCATGTTAGTGAAAGAAGATTCAGTTTGCATTTCAAAGTATTATATTTCGATGTATGTTTTATGAACTATTCTAATGGTATGAGGATTCAATTTGCTGGTTTATTGATAGGCTTGAAGGTATAATTTCCAAGAAAGGACTTGGTCTCTTTCCTCCATTGATGATCCTCAAGGTAGCCTATACTGAAGGTGACCTCTTCAATGCTGGTCATATGGATGCCTCAGAAAATTGATATCCCTCCTTTTGTGTTTGTCAGGCTCACTGCAGGATGGCTTACAGAAAAAGCAACAGGCATTCCATAAAATAGAATAAAAGCTAATCAGCACGCAAGAGTCTCCAGCCAGGTAATAACCAGAAAAGGAGGAAAACAATTGGTCAAATCTAGATGTACAACAGAACTAAAGCCATGTGCCTCAACACTGATAAACCAGTTGGGCATTCCAGTATTGGGAATTCCATGACTTGGGAGCTGCATCTAAGACCAGACTATCCTCAGGGATCCACAAATCCAGTCACCAGTTTGCCAAGGCTGAGGGCCTCAGCCCTCTGAGGTAGACCTTGTGCAGGAGGTCTCATTTCCACCGTCAGTTTTCAAGCAGGTAAGAAACAGTACAACGCCTTCTGAGCAGTGGCCAAGATTCCTGCCATGTCTCAATTTCTCTGCATGAATGAGAGAAGAGCCTTCCTGTCTCCCGGGAGCTCCACACATGCTGCAGGATTGGGAGGAGAACCATGAATGATGAGCCCTCGTTTATCTTGCACCCCTGCCAGACTTCCAGTGGCAAACGTTGCTGATGATTGCTGTGGGCAAGCAGGCACACACAGGGAAATAGGCTTGATCCCAAACCATTTGGGGCTTCTTTTTCCCTTGTATCATGCTTGGAAACAGACTGGAAGCCAGTGAAGGCTGAACAGTGTTGGAGTTGGGTGTGCTGAAAACATTACCTCCGATCAGACCTCGATGGCTTCATTTTGCGTATTGGCTGGAATTTCCAAGCATGTTTCAAAGGCAGAGCCATGTAGAGCGTTTTGCAGTAATCTAACCTTGCTCTTGCCAAGATATTTGGGCGAGCTCTTTTGCTCCAGGATATTGAGCTCCAGATATACCTGTACAGTGTTGATCCAAAGTGTAGCAAGGAAGTGTTGCACCTGCAAGGATACATATTTTCCAGAAGCAAGATGCCGTATCGACTCCGTTCTTCGAGCAGTGTATATATGAACCGGATAAACCCTATACAGGTGCTTGAATTTAGCGATGCTTTCATGAAGCAGCCTGACTTAAACAAATATTGCAAGTGAAAAATGCAGTAACGCACAAGAGCATTATCCTCTGCAGTTGTTAACATTTGGAAGAATGTTTACCTATCTGAACATCCTTTACAGCTGTGCTACATAGGAAATTGGATGGATACTTACAGAGAAGCAACCCTTAAGTTAGAGGTGCAGAACTGCCAGATGAAGGGTCAAATCTTGCCTTCTGGAGTGTCCTAGAAGGCCAGATGCCTTTCACCTGGCCTCACTCTTTTCCCCAAACCCTAGGTAATTTGCTGTAGCTTTTCTGGGTTTTTCTTTCTTAAAAGGTTCAAATGCTTCTCCTAATGATTACTCACTGGCACTAAAAACTTTAAGGAAAAAGCACCCATGCCTTAAACAGTCAGGACACAGTGAAGCATTAGAAAAAGGCTGCTTTAATTCTTAAAATAATCAGGAATATCTTCCCTATACCCTAAAATGAACTAGAAGAGAATTTAGCCCAGTGCATTTTCCTCCTGCTCATGGGCTTAGGCAGAAGTTCCCCTCCAGCTTTTCACCCCAAGATCTTTGGGAGATAGCCAAGGAACAAGCCTGGAACCTCCTCCATGCAAAACATCTGTTTATGCACTGCTTTTTAGCTTCCTCACCTTTCCACCCATAGTTGTCGTACAGCAAAACCGCTTATCATTGAATCACTGCTGGGCATGGCTTGGTCAACTCCACAAACCTTTTGCATCCATTTCGTTGTGTTGTGCTCTGTATCCGTTTTCTTTAATTGGTGTGTCTTTGACTGTAACAGCTTAATGTTCTCACAGAAATCGTCATTGTACCTAGTTCTTTGCAATGTTATGAGATAAACATTTACGTAAGCAACATAAACAAGATAAACATTTACGTAAGGGTTAGACTTAGACACAGTGATCTTTGCACCTTCCTGGTTGAAAGATACGCAGGCTGAAATGCCGTGTGGAGTAAATGACCTTCAGGCTTTGGAGAATCATTTTTTCTGGAAGTATTAAACATGTTGCCAAGAAAATATTTTTCAGAATGGGATTCTGATGCACCCTATGTGTTGTAGACTGATCGATAGCAATCCTATAACTACCTGAAGAGTCTTGAAGGCGGCGGCTGGGGATGGGGGGTGTTGGCTTGTTTTCAAATGTTTCCTGGGAGGTTGTAAATGCTTATTCTTTTCATCTGCAGTCAGCTTTGCACACTTGTCTCCTCACAACTTGCCTGCCGCTACCTTGTCGCTAGGCCGACTGCTTATGCATTTCCCCAAAAGGGAAGTGCACCACCAAAAAAAAGGACACTAATTTGTGTATCATTTGCATATGCTAATGTGTTTGTATAAATGCATATTTAGAAATTCCAGTTATAATTTTGATAGAATTACAATCTCCACAAAGGCAGACTGACAAGTGAATTGTGCAGTCTGTTGTCCAGTTGCCAAATGTGACTGGGCAACTTTGACGTTCCAGCCCTTCCCTTCTTATTTCTGGTCTATTAAAGCAGCTGAGTTTTCCCACATGTTAGTATGCATTTGAACCTTAAATAGTTGTATGTGCATTTTGGTACTTTTTTAGAACCTGAGAACTGTGTTGCAAACTACAGAGTGTGAAAGCCAAAGGAAACTGCGTTCTGATAGGAATCTTAATCCATGAAGGTTGGTTCACTTAAAAATGTGGACCAAATGAAGCCCTTCAGCATTCTTCATATGGACTGGCACATGAGATCCTTCTGAGGCAGACATTTCACCACCAAATGTGAGAGATTTAATGTTCATGTCCTCTGGCATTGGATGGGATACACACTCAAGTCAAATCATTTTTAGTTTTCTTTACCGGGTGCCAAAGTGCTAATTGTTAGTGATGCTTTGAGGTGAAGCGTGTCTCCAAAGTACATTTCAGTTCTGTGTACAGGATAATAGGGCATACTGTGATTTATGGTATTCTTCAAGATGACATGCTTCAAAAGACATAAAAAATGATTTCCATATCTAGGCCACACGGGAATTGGTTTGTTGAGGGGCATTTGGGCTTCATTTTCTGCCACAATACACTCAAGCCATTTCATATCTTCATTCCAAACCTATGAGTGGCTTTGAACGATTTCTGCTGAGACCTTTTATAGAAACAGCCCTGTGGCAAGAGGGAAGTTTCAAAAAACTAGTACCATGTACTTAACTGCCAGTTACATCTGTAATTACCTCACAGATACTGCCCCCCCCTTAACAAACACTGATTTGGGCAGTAGTTGAGTGAATTGGATATTTTAATACATTTTTAGAAAGGAAATTTCTTTCATGCCAGCTGAAAAAATCCTTGAAGTTCTTTGCAGACCAACTTCCCTCTTATGATGTTATATATAATTTTGTATTATTATAAAACTTTACACTTTGGGCAATCTGAATTGGATGTATTGGCTGGCCTGAGGTCTTTTAAAAAAAAAAGAGATTCCCTGTAACTTCTGAATACTATGAAGTGCTGACTTCACAGGAGCGATTTGCCTGAAGTACAGCAGTAGACCTTTCTAGAAGAGTCTAGATGGTAGGAACCCTGTCCCCCATTATGTCTCCCTGAGGGTTCTGATCCTTTTGGTGGCTTCCATGCTTTCCTACTGCTTGCCTTCCTAATTCCCAATTCAGCTTTTCAGCTTCCCAGTTCTTCTTCTGAAGAACTTACATGCTGAGCAGCTTTCGAGCAGGGTGGGTGAAGCCAGAGAAGCAGGACTGAATTGGGACTTCAGGTCATGAAGACAGGCCTGAGCGCATGTTTGAAGTGATGCAGGCAGAGAGTGAACCAAGATGGTTTTGTTGAAGCTCCCCACAGGGTAAATTTGTTTAGGAATGAGCACCATGGATGTGGCTGATCACACAGGTGCCTTGCCCATCTGCACGTATTTTGTTCTGCGTGTGGTTGTAAGTGTTCATCTGGAGGTGGGAGAAGAAAGAAACCTCTGACAATGAGTTGTTGTTATCTGCTATCACGTTGTGTCCAACTCATGGTGACCCTATGAATTAAAGCCCTTCAAAAGGCCATATTTGTGACAGCCCAACTCAAGCTTTGCAAACTCGAGGCTGTGGCTTCCCTTGTGGAGTCAATCCATCTCCTCTTCAGTCTTCCTTTACTTCTGCCTTCAGCTTTCCCTGGTATGATGATGATCTCCAGGAAGCCTTGCCTTCCCAGGTGTGACAGCTTCAGTTCTGCCATTTTTGCTTGTAGGGAAAGCTCTGGTTCAATTTGCTCTAGGACCCTCCTGTTCTTCTTTTTCTCAGTCCAGGGTATTTGCAAAGCTCTCCTCCAGCATCATGTTTCAAACAGATCAATGTTCCTCCACTCAGTTTTCTTCACTCCGAGAGTAGTGATTATATAATTAATATAGCTTGATCATTGTCCATTCCTCTCCTAAATAACCTGAGTGAAAGACAGGTCTCTGCCCTGATCCTCTTACAGTTCTAATTGTGA